GCTTATCTATTAATTAAAAGAATCATAATTAACTCAAATACACTTAATCTTAATGCTTAACAGTTAGTAAAGTAATGTTAATACTTAACTTTAATACCACTGCCACAGTCTATTTGCTTTTTTTTTCTTCTAATATGAGTACTAACTAATCTTACATGTCGTTTGGTAGAGTGTATTAAAAAATATAATTCATGCATTAAGTGTATGTGTATTAGTAGTACCTTGTTTGGTACACTTTTTCATGTCATGTATAACTAATGCAATAATTAGTTATACACTCTATTGTGTATTAAGTTGTGTATTACTAATACCAAGGAATTCTAGGTATTAGTAATACGTAGCATTTTAACACTTGCATTAGATTAAATAATTACAAAACTACCCTTAAAGCCTTTTCATTTTCTTTGTTGTCATAATTATTTTTATTTTGATTTACTTTTCAATGTCTTTTAATTTGTTGGTATCTTAATAGGCTTTATGGCCTCTTAAGTAATTTTTTTTAAAAATAAATCTAATTTCAATATAATTTAATCAATTTTTTTACTAATGTGACGATAAATTTGATAAATTAAATTCTTTGCCAACTTTTCACAAAAATATTTTGACGCAATAGTACAACTATTTAATATTATTTTTGAAAAAAGAAGAAGAAGAGTTAATGATGTTTTAGCAAAGAAATCTTTTTTGATGTTTTAGCAAAGAACTTTGTTGCAAAGGAAGTGTACAAATATATAAAGTGTGAAGGGTATTTTTGTAAACATATATTTGTTAATAGAAATTATGCAAGATTTGTTATTTGTAATACATCAAACCAAACAATATATAAGAAATAATGCTTGCATAACTAATGCAGGCATTACTAATGCAAGCACTACTAATGCACCCTATTTTGCATTGTTCTTATACACTCTACCAAATGACTACTTATGCTTTAAGAATTACGTATTTCACTTAGCTTATTTGTTAATTAGTATTGTGTAATTAACTCAAATACTTAGTAGTGTAATATGACTTGCTAACTCTTCCTAGACTGCTAACTTATCTTTCATAGGCTGCCACTATCCAGTTTTTCCTAATATGAGTACTAACTAACTAACTTTGTGCTTCAAGACTTAACTATTTGACTAGCTTATGTGTTAATTAGTAGTGAATAATTAACATAAATATTCAACTCTTTCTAGACTGCTGACTTAAGTTTAATGTTATGTAGTAGTAATATGACGTACATGTTAACTCTTCATAGTTTGATTTATCTTTAACATTTAACAATTTTTAATACTTAACAATTTATTTCGTAGTAATAATTACTTTATTTAAATCTTTGTAGGTTATTAAAATAGTTAATGTTATCATCTACTTTCATCATGATGGTGAGTGACTTGACAATTCAGAACCACATTATGATAAGAGATGGATCTATTATTGGAGAGGTTATGATCCTGATCGTATATCTTTTATTGACTTAGTTAATGAGTAAACAAATAAGTTAGGTTTTATAAGTGTGCAACAACTTATTGTACTTGGTCCTTCTGCAAAATATTTTGAAATAATAGGAGATGAAGGATTTAAGACATTATCATCTTGTATCTATGAGGATTATAAATTCATTCATTTGTTTGCTACTGATGGCTGTTAATTATATGTTGATGTACCTGATATTGTCATATATGATGGATTATTTTTACTTTTACCAATATTTAATGAAGGCACAAACTACTGATGTCATATATGATGGATTATTTTTACTTTTATCAATAGTTAATGAAGGCACAAACTGTAGTGAAAGTGATAGTAATAATGGAATGATGTTTAGCTCTTCAGATTATGATACTGATGAATTCAAACATTTTGTTACAAAAAATAAAAGAAATATAACTGATAGTTTGCAAGATTATAAGGAGATTGTTAGGGTATGACCTTTAAACACATAGCAGAAGCAAAATAATTTTGCAAACTTCATGCTATGGCTAAGAAGGTAGAACTAGTTGTCGTGAAGAGTGATAAATAAAGATTGAGATATAAATGTGGTGCTGAAGGTTGTCCATTTGTATATCAAATTTCTGTGAATTTGACCACTCCCTTAGTGTCAAAACCCTAGTAGATCATATAGAGTGTGGAACAATATATGACAACTCTTTAATTGATTATACAATAATAACTCAGTATTTGAAGGAGAAATTGCAAAGTGACCCTAAGTACAAGGTTAAAGAAATGAAGGCTGACTTACATAGAGTATTTTAGTTAAATGTAAGTGAAGCCAAGTGCAAGAGATCTAAAAGGGAGATACTATAGACTCTTGATGGTAGCTCGGTAAACTCTTACAATAAACTAGAGGGTTATACTACTTAACTGAGGAGTTGTAATTCAGGGTCTAACGTTGTCATTAATTTGTCTAAGGGGGCACTATCTATTGATAAGAGAAAATTTCTTAGGATGTATACCCGCTTCTAGGAAATAATGTTGGGTTTAAAGGCAGGGTTAAGACCATTTATTGGGTTAGATGGTACATTTCTTAAAGGAAAAAGCTAAGGGACAAGTATTACTTGCTGTTGGTCAAGACAATATGAACTGTTTCTACCCTTTAGCTTGGGTTGTGGTAGATAAATAGAATAAAAGGACTTTTACATGGTTCATGAAATAGTTGCAACATTCACTTGATCTTCATAATTGTGAAGGAATGACATTCATATCAAATATGCAAAAGGTAATATTATACTACTAAGTTGTAATTTATTTAAGTCCCTTTGTTTAATACTATTTCTTTATTTAATTTAGTTGTTTTTATTTGATACTCAGACATTCATATAAGGTTGTTAGATCTCTTTCCCCTAATCTTTTTATTGTAGATTGAGTCCCAATCGAGGAAGAATGTTCTCAAGGGGGAGATATTATAACACCTCAGATTTTGGAAAAAGAAAAGAAAACTTGTTTGGCTGCTGTTTGTATTCTATAGGTCCAGTGTACAGATCGTAGAAGCTTCTACGAATCATAAAAGGCATCCGTAGAAAGTGGGTTGAATTTTTGGGAAAATCAAGTTTCAGTATCTTATTCTACGGTCGACCAGGACGGTCCATCAAATGTTTTACGAGTCGTAGATATGTCTCGTAGAAAAGTCTCAGATTTAGTGAAATTTTAGGGTCAAAGTTGAGTCCTACGGTTGGGATCTATGGACCGTAGAAGGTTCTACGGGCCGTAGACCAGTCTCATCAAAGTTGGCTTGATTATAGGGCTCCAGTACTTAGTCTACGGCTGACCAGTATGGACCATATGAATTTCTACGGTACGTCACACCCGTAGACTGAGTCAACAGTTATCTTTTAAGGGGTTTTAGGGTCTTTTCCCTATGTTTTTAATACCTAAACTATGTCGTTTTGACCCATATTCTAAGCTCTATATAAGTATTTTAAGTCCTTAAACTACCCATTCTGAAATCATTCTTCTAAATCCCAAATTTCCTCCAAGTTCCCCCCCCCCCACCCCCAAATTTCTCTCTCAAGCTAAAGGAAGAAGAAGCTAGAGTTTCACTTCTAGGTCTCCAATTCACCATAGCTTTTGGGCTTTGATCATCAAAGTTTGTTAGTATTCACCTATGAAGTCCTTTCTTTCATTGGGTCCCCAAAGATTCCAATTGTACAAGTTTAATTCTCAATTCAAAGGTAGGATTTTATTCAATTTCCATGGGTTCTTCTCAATTATAATTCATTTGGTTGTTTTCTATCTTCTAATGCATGAATTGAAGTATTTACATGATTTGGAGTTGAATTATATCAATCTATGCATGATCCATAATTTTTTACTATGAACACGTGATGAAGCTTCTGAACTATGAAATATGAATTTAAGAAGATATGCATGTTTTTATGAAATTGATGCATATGATTTGAGGATGCTTTTAAGATGAAAGTATCAACGAAATTGTGAAAGTTTTTCTCACATAAAGATTCATAAGGTTTAAAGGTTTTATCACCTATGTCGAATCAAGATTTAAGGAGCTATTCTAAATGGCTTTAGCTTGGATTGATAGCTTAATTGTGCCTTTCCATGGATGATGAAATGAGTATGATAAATGATTATTTCATGGGATTTTACTTAGCACTGAGAGGATATTGCGATGTAGGCTCTCCTATTAGTAGAGTTTGGGTCTCTAGTAGCAATCTCTTTGTCCCTAACTACGTGCCCCCGTAGGATGTCTTAGCTAGTGGATCCATGTAAGTTAAAAGTTTATGGTCCTTACCTTGGCAAGTGGGAAATCTCTTTTCACAGTGGGATAGACACCAGATTCCATGTTTTAGCTCACCTGGTCTATGTCAGTTAAAGGTAAATATCCCATAATAATAAACTAGGTTACTTTCAAAGTATCTCACCAAGTATTTTAAATTTGCTAAGCCTGCATTGACCAGGATTACAACTTGTGTTTTCTAACCTCTTATCTTATTTTTTAGCTTGGTCATTGCATGTCATGTAAAGTTCTTTTAGCATGATTTCATAATGTCTGTGCATTGCTATCATACTTGGTACATTCTATGTACTAATGGTCTACATTTTTTCACTAATGTAAGGTCCAACACTCCTACCTTCCATACTTGTGTCTAGTTGATCTCTTTTGTTGATTGAGAGATTGGGGAGTCCTCATTTTCCGAGGACCAAGACACTTTTATAGATTTTTTTTAAATTTCAGTTTTCAGACATTGTACGTGGTGTATGAATTACGTCACAGCCACTTATTTTGATGTATTAGATGGATTATTGAGACTATGTTCGACTTCCGCTTTGCCAAACTATTTTATGATATGAGGGCCTTTTGATGTTCTATATGCCATGTTACATATCCCCCAAACACTTCAATAGGCATCAAACAATGCAGTTATTCAGACCTCATGAAGTGGTCAAGGTAACTCTCCGAAACACCTTGATAGTTGTTACAATGAATCATTGCATTCATCATCTACCTCTACTCTTGCACTTTTATTTACTTGTTTGTAAACTTCAAAGTGAACCGAGAGTTCCCCCAAACACTTCAGCAGGGCAACAAAAATGAAGAAATTAATCCCTCATGAAGTGGTCAAGGGAACTCTCGAGAACACCTTGATAGATATAGGTATGAATCATTGCATTCATCATCTACCTCTACTCTTGCACTTTTATTTACTTGTTTGTAAACTTCAAAGTGAACCGAGAGTTCCCCCAAACACTTCAGCAGGGCAACAAAAATGAAGAAATTAATCCCTCATGAAGTGGTCAAGGGAACTCTCGAGAACACCTTGATAGATATAGGTATGAATCATTGCATTCATCATCTTCCATTAATACTCTTGCACTCTACTTTTTGTTTAAATTTCAAAGTAAACTCGGGAGTTCCCCCAAGCACTTCAGTAGGGCATCAAACAACAAAGCAATTAAACCTTCATGAAATAGTCAAGGGATCTCTCGTGAACACCTTAATAGACCTGAGAACTATTTTTGTTCATCATCTCCAACTAGTACTCTTGCACTTACACTTGTTTGTTTAATCTTGTTACCACATTCATTCCTATTTATATTGTGTTGGTAAGCAAATTCCTTGCAAGATGTGAAAGTGGAATTTGAACAGGGATATGGGGTGACATTTTTATTGAATCTGGCTCCAAATATGGGTAATATTAAAGTTTTAGAATATTAGAAAGAAAAAAAAGTAATCCTTCCCCAGACCTTTTCCCTCTCATCCTATATTGTACCTTTTCCCTTTTTTCTTTTCATGCGTTTAAGTTTAAGTGATGGCTTCACTTGCTAATTCTCATACCTAAGCTTTTAATTAACTTTGATATTAAATATGTACAAACCTTATCAATTGCCATCTTCAAGTCTTTTTTTCTTGCATCAATTTGCTGGAAATAAGGGATTCACTGGTGACTGGCTAATTATTCTTGAACTATTTAATACGACTTCTTCATATTTTTTTATGCATGTCTATTTTTTTATTTAAAAAATAAAATAAAGAATCATATAACAATTCATAATGAGATTTTTAAATACTTTGGCTCTTGTGTGACTGAGGGGTACATATTTTATAAAGTTATTCTAAATCTTGTCCAATTTGCTTTATGATTGATAAAATAGAAAGGTATCAACAGAAAATTTAACGTTGAGTCAATCTCATTTGTGCATGAAATGTTTTCCCTTTATTTTGGTATAAATTTTTGCCTTCACTTGGATAAAAATATAATCCAAGTTCAATATTAAAATCTTAAAAAGTATATTCTAAACCTATAATACCAAGGAATATTTCTTTTCCAGAGTTGAAAGAGGCAGCAACAACAACAAGTACGCTGTACACACTCAGTGTAATCCCATAAAGTGGGCCGGGGTATGTGAAGGATAAAATGTACACAGATTATATTACTATATTGATTGTTGTCGATAGACCCTTAGTTCAAGAAAAAATAGTCCTAAATTATATAGAGAAAGAAATAACTAAATAAATGGTCATTTATCTTGAGTAAATTTACACTATATATATATATATATATATAAATTTTTTTTTTTTTTTTTTTTTTAAGACCTTTAATTTTATTAACTCAAAGTGCATTGAAGAGAATTTGCATGTGAACTATAAAGGTCATTTAATAACATATTACGAGAGCAAGCCTAGGTGATGAGTTCAAGTTTCACTGTCATTTATTATTTTCAAAAACGAAATTTTATATGCCTGGCCGGCCAAGAAAGAGACTATGTATCCTCATATTAGGGAACATGTAGCAAATATAAAATAAATAATAAATATATTTGTATCTTCAGACGTGAACATAGAAGCTTGATATGAATTCAGCTTAATTAAATTATTAATTTTCTTAAAATGGTGTGTTTTTATCCAACAAATTCATTAAATGTTCTTACATATTTATTAAATCATCAAAAATGTTTATACATTTCACAAAGATTAGATAGAGTAACTTTGATTCGAATTTTAAAAATGTATCAAAAAAATATTATTAAGTAAATTCATCAAATGCATGTATTGAATCTGGCTGTAAAGACTGGTAATATTTAAAGTTTGAGAATAAAGCAAAAAGAAGGATTTCCTTCTTGAGATCCTTGTCCTTTTATGCCATACTAGTTATGAAGACTCCACAAGAGCCCAATATTTATTCATAATTCAATTTTTAAGTGGTATTAATTAAATGATATTATATCATCTCATTCAATGTATAATAAATATTATTAATATTGATAAATTTTAGGTGGTATTAATTAAATAATTTGAAATTTTTACTCTAAAATAAAGTACACTATGTTTGTACGGGAGTAAATCATCTCTTTTTTTCTTGTGCAAATTGAATGTGAAGAGGTCCATTAAGATATGTATAATTAAAGTATTTCTTTTTTAATCATCGTTGATTTTTTAATCAAAGAGATTACAAGAATATATATAGATACATTCAAAATAATAAGGCTATAATTAAAGAATATGAATTTAAAACTAAAAATCATATCTAAAAGGGATCCATCACTTCGAAAAAAATTATACAATAATTAAATTAAAGTAGAACAAAACAAACACTTTTTTTAATTTGTTTTTCAAAAATGCCCTTGCTGAAGTAGACACGTCTTCAGCTTGAAACTGTCTCTTATATAATAAGAAAAAATATACATTTCCCCCTTTTTATTCCTTTTGAAGCTTGGATAGTAAATTTACTTGCTAATATATATATATATATATATATATATATATAATTACTAAAGACTTTTATTTACCTCCTGGGAGGGTTTGACATTATGTCTACTCGAGGTGGCAAATGGACGATTTGAGTTGAAGTTGAAAACATTGAGATGAACTAAACTAATAAACATATCAATGTCCAATCCTATTTAAAAGTTGACTTGAGCTAAGATGAGTTGGATCAAAATGAACGAAATAATGAGTTATAACCTAGCTCGCCCAAATTTTTTTCTTTCTTTTGTGGAGGTATGTAATAACATTTTCAACCAAATATTTCCAGATAAATGATCATGGATATTACAAAAGATTTATTACTTTTATATAACCTAATCCTACGTATCAAGATAATTAAGGAAAGCTTGAGAAGAATGTTTCTGTTTATTTACATGGCAAATTATTAACAACAAATAAAAAACTTTGAAAGGCTTAAGCTTGTGCTATATATTTACCTGATTACCTCCTCACATTTTAATGAATTACAACAGCATCTCTTATTTTATTTTTTTCATAATAATTATTAATTTTCCCCCCATGTCTAGGATGTTGATACACTCGATTGAGTTCCAGACGTCACTCGATACAAAAAATAAAAACAATTAACAACATCACTTTGTAATCATTTAAATGATTCGGATTATATTAAATTCATATATTAATCCAAATAAATATTATGAATTAATATAATTGGCTAATTATTTAAGTTCAATAAATATGCATTTAATTAAGGAAGAAGTACTCATATACACAACTTTAATTTCCTTATTGTCTATTTCTCCCTACCTTTTTAAAATATTACTTAAATCCCTTCTTTCTCCTAAATATTAAAACTACCGGATACATAAAACATAAACTGCAACCCACGTTCACCACTCCCTCTTACACTCCTATTTTCTCTCCCTAAATTCACTCCAAAATATTAGTAGTTACAAAATCCATATCCAAATTTGATTTTCAAAAAGTTTCTCTCTCCTTCCAATCAATTTCAAACTTCTGAATAGGTAGGATTGTCATCTCACTTTTCATCTTCTTCGTTTCCTTTTTATTTTTTTCAAATTTTCTTCCTGGTACATATGGATCAGGATCCTACATCAAATCTTTCTAATACTGATTGAATAGTATATGATTCTGATGATGAAAATTGGACTGAAAACACATCCCAAAGTTTGCATGACCCATTAAAGATGAAGAATCAGTCGAACAAGAAAGTGTCTTCATCGTCGAAATCAAATGTTGAAAAAACCCCTCCAAAAAAGGGGAAGAAAAGCAGCACATGCGACTGTCTGACCTTCATTGTCTAAAGTATGTGTTTTCGATCTTTATTACTCTTTTTTGTGGTTGGTATGGCATTTGGTCTGTTAGATTGAAATTAACTGATACACTAATTTCATGTGTTATGCTATATTGTTTATTGAGGTAAAAAAATGATACATATAAAACCTCAGTCTTAGTTGGATACTAACTGATTTGTACTTTGTCGACACATATAATTAAACCCTAATTTTAGTTTAGTATTAAATATGAAAAAAATGTGGGTGAAATATAACAAAAAAAGTGTGCAAAGTTCATAGTTGGTAATTCCTTTGTTAGATTTATAATATTGTATCATATAAAATACATTTTGCTCATGATACACATTCAAGCATTTTATAGTCAGTATGTTGGATTGTTTATGTTTCAAGGTTGTTTTTTTATGAATCAGTTATTGTTAGTGGTATTCATATCATATATTATCACAGAATGTATCATGTATTGCAATATCTATAAGAAAAGATACTTATTGCTACAAAATCTAAGCTATGAATTTGAAAATTGTAGCTATTACTTAGTAATAGTCATAAAAATTCAAATTTCATAGCTATCTTAAAAGAGCCATGAATATTAAGTTGACAAAGCTAAATCCTTATATTTGCTTTAATTGTTAACAATCGTGGCAATAACTATCTAAATAGCTACAATTTTACTGCTACAATAAAATTTTATAGCTAATTATAACTTATTTGTTACGCAATAAAAGTAATTGTAGCAATAGTAACCCTTTAGCCATAATAAGTTATTTGAAACAAAATATTGTGGCTAAATAAATAATTCCTCATCAAGTTATAAAACGACGTGTCAATTGTTAAATGAAGTAGCTATAGAGTTTTTGCTATAGTAAAATTTAGTAGCTAATGATTATTTTATGCCACAAATTTAAATTTACCATAGTAATAATAACCTTTTAACCACAATAACTTATTTGAAGAAATATTTGCAGCTAAATAAATAATTTATCTTTAAGTTATAAAATATTGTGGCAATAATTAAATGAAATAGACATAGATTTTCTTCTATTATAAAATTTCATACCTAATTATTATTTTTTCCACGAATTTGAAT